TTGTTAAGCATAGGAACTACATTTAAAGTGTCCCCAACAACCGTAATGAGTATAACTAATAAGGTGCTCCACTTTATGGTAAAACTGAAGTCAGCCTGTATCATTTTTCTCAAAAATGAAGCTGAATTACAATAACACTATCCAATACCCGGCAAAATTCTAACTTGTCACATTTCAAATAATAACCAGAAATATAAAACTACTCTTGAGTTGGATAAATACCACAATTTTGCGGTGATAACTATGACATATAACAGCTGATTCGTGACGTCACGGATCTTATAACCAAACTGATAACTACACTCGCTTGAACGGATTGGTAAATACCAACCCAAAATGGTAAATACCATTTCCATTTGGTTATCCGCTTGAATTTGATTATTCACAAGTGACAGATTGAACGTAATATCGAAAATTTATTCTTGACATACTGAGGCACATCAGACAGAATAATCAAATCATCACTGAAGCTGCGCAGGCCCCTAGTACATCTTGCAAAACCGCCCACAGAAAGGTACAACTAATTAGTAGAGATTTCGATACTGCTATATCAAACCTAGATACGACAACACCCCGGAGAAATGGTGGCGCGGTTCTCTTGCCAGCCAGTCATCGCGAAACTCCATAAGAACACGCATAGGCCTACTCTACGTGACGTCACAGGCTTTTCGGAGCCCAGTTGTTTGGCCTTGTACTCTCGGTGGTAACGGCTATACGCGGCATTTCAGTAAGGAGATTTACACCAGAAATGACTGGATTTGTGGGTGCAGCAGGCAGAATGCCCTTTTCTGCTTTCCTTGTATACTTTTCGGCGGTGACAAAGCTTGGACGGAGGTAGGTGTTACAGATTTAGTGCACTTGAGTGAAAAAATTAAGAAGCATGAAAACTCTAAAACACATCTTCATAATTCGATGCAATTGGCTTTATTGGGGACTGTTAACATCAGAGCTCAGTTAGATTCAGCATATTGGAGAAATATACAACAGCATAATGATACCGTTACAAAAAACAGGTACGTTCTATCAAAAATAATCGATTGTCTAAAATTTTGCGGAGCATTTGAATTGGCGCTACGGGACCACGACGAAACCGAGAGCTCCCAAAACCCGGGAATATTTCGTGAACTGATTAGTTTTTCTGCTGAGCTTGATACAACCTTAAGCGAACATATAAAAAATGCTTCAATATTTAAAGGAACTTCAAAAGAAATACAAAACGATCTATTGGATTGTATTCTTGAAGTTTGTCATGAAGAAATAATTAAACAGATTAACAGAGCCTCGTATTTGGCGATAATAGCAGATGAAACAACGGACATTTCGGGGAAAACCCAACTGGTAACAATTTTCAGATACGTATTTAACGGCGAACCAGTAGAACGTTTTGGAATTATATGAATCCAGAAAAATGTGAGGCTGATACTCTCACAAGACATATTATTTTGAGCGTCGTAGATCCATTAATAGGAAATTTCCCTAACAAAATGATTTCACCCACCTATGATGGAGCCGCAGTAATGAGCTGACATAATGCTGGAGTACAGACAAAAATTAAACAAAGATATCCATTTGCTCACTATGTGCATTGCTATGCGCATCAGTTAAACCTGATTATGTCCCAAGCTGCTTCCGTAATGCTCAAGTTCGGGTGTTCTTTGGGGATTTGAAAGATATCCGGGATTTTTTAATAATTCTCCTCAACGCGTAGAGGTACTGAACAGAATTGTGGGGAAAATTCCCCAAGGAGCAACAACTCGTTGGAATTTTAATATTCGAACAATAAATGTAGTGTTTGAGAACAGAGAATCACTCATTGAATGCATGGAAGAAATAGAAGAAAATTTCACTAATGAAACCGTTTGCAAAGCAGCTTGCGGTATTCGTGGTATGTTAAGCGATTCTGTTTTCGTGTTTTGCTTGACATTTTTTCATCATGTCATGCCTCACGTCGACATCTTGTTCAACCAGTTGCAGAAGAGAAAAACCGAGCCACGCAATACGATAATTTAAAGTGCTACATAGTCTGGGCAATTTTGGAGTTAAATCTTGAATGTAAGGCAATACTACAGAACTAATTCTGGGATTTGATGGTGTATTGGTATTGTTGTTGTTATGAGAATAATTATTTTTATTATTGTTGAAGGGGTGGCAGAACGTACCTGTTTTTTGTAACGGTATCATTATGCTGTTGTATATTTCTCCAATATGTTGAATCTAACTGAGCTCTGATGTTAACAGTCCCCAATAAAACCAATTCCATCGAATTATGAAGATGTGTTTTAGAGTTTTCATGCTTCTTAATTTTTTCACTTAGGGGCACTAAATCTGTAACATCTACCTCCGTCCAAGCTTTGTCACCGCCGAAAACCATGCAAGGAAAGCAGAAAAGGGCATTCTTCCTGCTGCACCCACAAATCCAGTCATTTCTGGTGTAAATCTCATTACTGAAATGCCGCGTATAGCCCTTGCCCCGCCATGTGTTTTTATAAATATGCCCAGCAGCAGTCGACCTAATACCTTCAGCTCAATTTTTTCTTCAAATGTGTATTTCCAGAATCGTTTCACGCTGATAAGTCGGTAAACCACATCCATTGTCTTGTACTACCCTTCTACACAGCCACAGTCAGTCAGTGAGTCACTAGTCAGTCAAAGTAAGACCCAAAATACTTAAATAACAAATTTTTCGTATTCAAATTTTAAGCCACGTCACGCGACTAGACCAATATGCCAATACCGCCGAGGACCGAGCACCGACCGACCAATCAGATATCGTACTTCGCATTAGATCTGTACGGATCTGTATAACTTGCAGCACATGATTATGCTTAAATCGCGCATTTGATTTTGTAGAGAGAGACAAAAACAAGCGCGTGCGGCTTGTGTCGAAGTAGTGCACAGACCGTTTTCAAGTAGCCCATGAATAATTTTACGCTGCGGCCGCGACGAAAATGAGAAGTACACAATTGGTCGATTATAATGCTTTCTCAGTACAAAACGGACTCGAAGCCGTGTCTTGCGGTGGCAGCGTTGCCGATATTGTTTCTATTTGTGTGATAACATGGAAAATAAATAATGATCAAATTACTACTGTTTTTTCTGTTAAGACAGAAGTTTTGGCAGTTCTGCAGCTCTGCAGAACTTAAGGGCCAGCCGCCCCTGAGGGGTGGAATTATTGTTACTGTTGTTTTGATTTGGCACAATATTGGAACAGAATTCTGTTAGTTAAATACCCTGGGTAACCATTGTTCATGAACACTGTTAGGAGTTTCCGTAGATTCGAGGTGTGGAAAGTACTGTCATATATGCCAATTACCCTTGTTTTCATTTTTCGCACCATATTCTACTTTATTTTTATGTTATGGTAGGACCTGAAATTTAGGAACCTTGCTGAGGAAATTGGTTTCCTGCACCAGTCTACCAACAAAATGTTGTTGTTACGGATGATTCTTGAGTCCAAAAATAGGACTGATTGATTTTCATCCTCTTTTTCAATGGTAAATTGAATGTAGGGGTCATAGCTATTAAAATATTGGATAATACTGTACACTCCTTGTAAAGCGAGACAGACAATGATGTCGTCTACGTACTTCTTTATGAAACATAGGTTGAAAGGTAAAACCTGAATAACAATATCCAGTAGGTCATCCATCACATATTCTGCCAAAATTGGTGATAGCACTGAGCCCATTGGGCAACCGCGTGTTTGTGAAAAAAGCTTGTTATTGAATGTAAAATAGTTATTATGGAAAAGGTATTTTAAGATGGAGATAAATGAGTCTAGGGCTAGGTTACAGCATTGACATATTTGATCCCACTATTTATGGATGGATCAAATACAAGCATCATGGTAAACATTGCTGAAAAGTGAGACCACGTCAAGGCTAGCCATGACATGGCCAGGTGGTATTTGTGGCCTATTAAATTGTTGAAAGACATCAAGTGAGTCTTTAATATAGTGTTCACCTTTAACGTGGGATGATTTTAAAATATCCGAGATCAATGAGGATAAAGCTCGCGTAGCCAAACCAATTGAAGCTATTATAGGTCTTAGAGATAAAACTGGTTTGTGTATCTTAGGAAGAGCATAGAATTTTGGTGAATTGTAAATGGTTAAAGATTTTTCTGGTCTGGATTGATTTGTCCAGTGTTGAAGCGTTTGCTAACAATGTCATTACAACCTTTTTCTACTCTTGGAGTAGGGTCTCTATTCAGTTCAGTATGAGGGATATATATATATATATATATATATATATATATATATATATGTACATATATATTCATATTTTCCATAAAACTTTTACATTCTGTTTATCAATGTTATGGAATTGTGATTAGATATTCCTGTACTATAATTCCTATGAAAACTTAGGTAACTAGTAAACCTGCAATCGTTAACAGTAACTATTATTTCTTTTTGAAAGACATTTGTTTCCATCACTAATTGTAATAATTTTTCCATGCAGGTGCTGCAAAAGACCATCACCAGGAATTACCAAATAATATTTGGACGATAAATATTATTGATATGTTCATACAGTATAAAATTTAGATAAAAATATATTCTCAGGTATATATTTTTTACTGTTATCAAATTTTCGAATAACTAGGATATATGTACGATTTATAAGTCACTACTTATTTGTCAAAACAGCAAAAACATGTTAATAAGACATGGTGTTATGAAATCTTCCATATCATTAGAAATGCTTACTATAAAATTATACAATGGTCTCAGATTTATGCGAAAAGTCTGCAACGTTGCATGCGGCGGTTGTGCACATCTGGCAACCATGTGGCATCCAGAAAAATAGAGTTTGACACTGACATAAATCAACCGTGTTGCCCTTTGGATCACGTGGGGTCAACTGAGGCCTGACAAGGCGCAACACAGGAAATCTGGCAACGTCTTACGTGGTGAAAAAATGGCCGGCAACACTGTCAATATTGATAGTGTTACTTGTCTTGATATTGTCACTTGTCTTTCATACGTCTTTCTTCAACGTCAACGCTGTCAAGCTGCCATGTTTCATGTTTCCTTTACCGCTAAAAATGTGCCGACGTGTGGAGTGGCTTGGAACAATGCTGCTCCGAAATAATTATTATAGGTAAGATTTGTGATAATGAAATAGAGCAGCTTTACTTTTGATATTCATGGGAATTTAGAGTATGTCATCAAACCCTTAATTAAGCATGCGTTAATGTCCACCTTGAAAAAAAAACCTGAGTAAAATTTTCCCACTCCACTCGGCTCCTCTGTGCCTACATTATTTTTTTTATAAATAGTGTGTTTCAAGAAATGATTTTCAGTTCCAGTTTCTGCCACCCATGTTTCAAGATTGGACTAGGTTAAAAAAATACAGGTGAGTACCTACATGACATTGATTCTGATATTGTGAAGTTGCTCAGGGCAATTTATTACGTTTCACTTAAATATTTTTGATACTACTATGGCAAAAACAAGCAAGAAATAGACACGACAGTGCCTATATCCTTATTGCCAAAATAAATACATATTGAATGTAAGTCATTCATATCCCCCATCCAAGAAATTTCATCGATTCCCAAAAAATCCCAGTCAAAGGCAATTATGATACAATGCCTGTGGATTAGCTCCAGTACAAAATCTGATAAATATGTTTACGAAAACCAGTTCGTACTGTCTGATAATGTTTCCCTTCAGGACCTCTATTCACGTTTAAACTGTCTTTCAGTTCCAAAAGATGTTGATGGTCAAATTCTTAGTCATTCTGATATTGCAGTTTCATTGAAGGAATGCTCTGTTGGTTTCTCAGCAAGCATTTGTGATGCTCCTTCAACTTCGGCTGCAAGCCATGTAAATTGGCTGTCAAAAGAAGTAACAAAGACTTGACAGATGTAAGTACAATTGAACACGATCACTGCCTATTCTAAGCCAGATTTTGTAGTACAGACTCATTATCAAGATACATTTCTGTCAGACGCTTCGAGTTCATGCCTTACACAATTAGAAGTAAGTAAAAGTCAATTAACAGAAAGGGAATCTAAAATGTATCAAATTCACCGCAACACAAAGTGACGTTAACATCCCCCAATGCCCTAGATGTCGGGAAGCACTGTTCTCTGATGAGTTGACCCCATTCCAGTTGTATGTTCATTTCAAGGAACAGGACAACGAGCAGAGGCTGACATACGCAAATGACAAACTAAGTCATCTACTAAATGTTATCCATGTAAAACTGTATAGTTTTTTGGATAAGTTCGCCCATTTGCCTAATGATCAAGCCTCCTTCAAACCAGGTCTGATACAACTGCTTGAAAATTTTCAGCCTTGCAATTTTCATGATGACCTCAAAAATATCATTAACAAATGCATCAGACTGACAATATTCTAGTATATTAAACATAAAAATTCTTTTAAAAGACCTCTTGGAACATCTGATGGTCATTCAAGGAAAATGAAAAAGCTGAATGCCACCAGGTAAATCATTTTCGAATATCTGCTGCTGGTTTTTTTATTATTTCATGTACCTCCATGGATGAACCATCACAAACCCGACTGTGACATACCTGACCAGGACATTTTTACCATATTGTGATAGAATTTTTTTATTTTATTTTTTAGAATTTTATGTTGAGTTATTAAATTACTATATATGGCCTGTACCATATACATACAGGCTTTACTCATGTAAAATAAATGTAAAATTTTGCAAATTAATGTTTATTCAGAAGTTTAGTGTTGTTTGATTAACGAAATCTTGTACCCTTTACATACAGATTTCACAATATTTTTGTTATTGAATTTTTGTTGAGTGTGGTATCATGGGTTTTTTGTAGTTTCCTTTTGATCATATTCTGATTCTTCATTGCACTAAATTACAAATGTACCACATTACGTTATCTACCAGAATAAAGTTATTTTTCTAATTATATTGTTTTATCTGTGACAAATGTACGTGAGGTGTTTGAATTGTTTTTCCTAATGCAAAATTAATTTTTTTTATTAGGAAAACCATTCAAAAAGGATTTTTTCGCGACTCCACGGTGTAGCACAGTGCACTACCGGGAACCGATACTCAAATTTTCGCGAAGAACGGGAATAAGGGAAGACGGATGTGACGTCATCTGAATGTCAAAAAATCACGTGGTATGGGTACCCGCCTAACGTCTGTGAGTTACTAGCAGGTGACAGGTCTTATGTCAATTACATTTAAAAAACAGGCATCTCAATTGAAAATTTGTCTTCGCAGTGCCGAAAATTGAATTAAATTATTAAATCATAAATGGAGAAACACGTCCACCTGATTTTAAATGACGAGGGAGAAGGTCATCGAAGATATATGAACCGCACTTGTCATATCAAATGATTGATTTAATTGATATATGTACATACAAAAAACGGTCGGTCTTTTTATTTCAGATTCAAACAGGGCAGCTAAGTTTATCAAGGAGCTTAAAGCAAACATTTTGCGCAACATGCGCCATCAAACCACTCCCGGTGTAACTTGAAACTGTCAAGACTTCGAGAGGAAGGGGAAATTCCATCTGTTCCCGCTCCGGTTCACTACGGGATCTCGCGAAAAAATCTCTTAGGGCCGATTTCAGCAACATTAATATTATGGACCAATGGGAAAATACCTTATTGAAATGCAATTTGACAGAAGCTGTCAAAGGTCTCTGAATATTAATGATTAATATTGAATAAAATCGTGAAAATTCGACTGTATTATAAACAAGACCACTTTTTGATTCCAACATGATGCTTTTGTTCAGAAAAAACAAGACAACTTTCATGTATTTTGATATATGTTATAGGTTTACATTTAACAATTAAATAGGTCGATTTTCTAGCTGTTAATGCATGGCACTCTAGAATTTACCAACTTCAATATACTGAAAGTGAAAGTTATCATTACATACCTGTTGAATAGTGTGGATTTGCCTGTATTTTGCAAGAAAATAGAATATAAAATACATTCCATCCAATTCCTCATCTTCCTTTACGTCATAATAGTAATCATTTATTAATTTATGGGATAATGAATTTCTTCAAAGCAATAAAAACATTATGTCCTCTCCATCCTAAAACACAGATAATATGTGCAAGACGTGTCAATCCCTACATCTCGCTGATGTATAATGCAATTACTCTGGACATAGACAAAAAATCATGAAAAATGTTTCACAAATAATGTCTTTCAAGTCCAAAAATTATCAAAACTAGTAATGTTTATTGTTTGTGTTTTTGACTGGCGGGGATATCTATCTGTCACTCGAGGGTTGCCAAGTCTAACGACATTCACGTCCCGTGGTGGAGGGTGCGAAATGAATCTTTTACATTTGCTGGTTTTGCATTTTTTAGTGAAAATTTACTAGGTATCATGATTGTAAGCATCTTTGGTAGATTGTTCGATCCGGAATGGGAAAGGTCTCCTATTTATGAAAATATTTTTGGTATAATCTAACCGATGCGATCAGTGCACAAACACTGTGACATAATTATGATTTATAGCATAACCCGCTGCCCTATCAATACAAATTTAACATACAGGTCGCCTAGCCGTGGGGATGCAGTGGTCGGGATGAATATCACGGCAGCAACTCATGATTTGGGCATGTCTGGTAAGAACGTATGAAGTGAAACTCGCTAACTTCACAAATTTGCGGCAGTCACTCTTTCTGACACAGTCCGGATCGAAAGATGACGATACTCGTGAAATGTATTGTTACTTCTAAATATAGGACAATATCGAATATCCTTACTATCAAGATGTATAACCCAAGGTACCGACGGAGCTATTTTTTGCGGCGTCATGGAAATAATTTTAAATTTTCATTTGCATTTTTTCAAGTGTTGTGCAATGATTTCGGGAAAAATGTCACGAATAGTCTTATAAAGCATAGTATAGTGTATTTCAACAGTTGGCGGAACTTACTCCACTGGGACCAGGAGGGTGAAACGGGATATTAATGTACAGTCTGGAAACCCTGTCGCACCCTCACAAAATGGCCGCTGACAACTACACAAGTCACCGTGTTGTGATTGAATAGCATGGAATTAAACCTTCAGAGTATATATGTTTTGTGACTGGTACCAAGAGTCGACAGATCCCACACATGTGTTACTCCTTGAGATGCAATAATCAGCTGTATTTAAATAATGTCTAATATAAATATAACCTAGAATGTGTACTCGTGAAAAATATGACAAATTTGTAGTTTTTTTCCCGGTTTTATAGGTTTGTTGGTAGCTTTAAGGCATATATTTGGGAATTACTTAATGGCTGTGAATATAGTGTGGATGTTTGTTCAGTTCCTGAACAACGAAAAATATTCAACTTTATGGACGTAAACCTGAATGGTTTTGTGGGAATATCAATCTAAGGTGCCATAATGGTTCTGATGAACGGCAAGTAAATGAATGAATGTTTGGAAACGAGCAATATCTTTTGGTAGAGCCTGTCATCAAGTAGGTGCTTAATGGCTATCTGCAAGAGGTTTATAGGAAAAAACACCCAGAATCACATATCAATTGAAGAAAATATAAACATGAATAAAAAATCAACAATAGTAATTAAAACATGAATTTAATTCAAAAATCAAACATTTCTTAAAATTTCGATTGAATTATATGTAATTTCTTAATATTCAATAAGCTGGTAATGTTTCAATGACAAGTTGTCATCTCAAACTTTGACAGTATTTTGTTTTCAACATTTCATAGCTATTGGTTGCTAAAATTTGTTCATTGGAACTTGAAGCTCATTCGCTGTATCTGACGGTCTGTCTGTTACCCTATAGGTGGAGAATAACGGACTGTTGTTGGTGAAATTGGGACTAATAAAACAATCAAATAAAGATGATAATGAGTGACAGATGTGGTGAGAAAGGAGGCAACCATGAGAGAACCGCCGTATGTCATTGTGAGAAACATGGCGGCATATGTCATTCGTCGAATTGTTCTGGGTAGGCAGGCGTTCTTTCTGTGTCATATTTGTTCTTTCACCTCGAAATGGCGATATTCGTGTTGCTGGTTGAATTACACTGAGTTAGCATTCTTTCAATGTATATTTTGTGCCTTGGATAGCACGTGATTGAACCCTCCTTCAGGGGGGTGAAACTCATATTGGCGAATGGGAAAAAAAGCAGTGTTGCTGGTGCATAATATGACAACCATGTCGCACCCTCAAAAAATGGCGACTTATTCACAACTGACGTTGTCTGATTGGCCAGATTTAAATTTCCGGCGGGTTTCTTCCTGTGCTCTTTGCAAACAATGTTGCCAGATTACACGATTAATCGTGTAATTACACGATTTCGGTCCTTTTTACACGATTACACGAATGAAGTGCCAATTCTCACGATTTTTGAGATTTTATAAAAAAATGAATTACTTTTACTTATTTAAAATTCCAACAGCACCCAAATCAATGTATCAACTCCACTTATTCATGTTTATATAGGAAAGTTTTATGCTTTCACTCGGTTTATCAATTGGGGGCACTGACGATTAATTCGGGGAATCCCGTAGAGCCGGTTCATGTTGACCACGTCGTACGTTGTCAGTTTGCATTCACTACTTGTTTTAACTTATGCATTTTGCTTACTGATACTTCCATCTAGTATTTCATTATAAATCGTATTTAAAATGTGTAATACTTCTGATAGTGAGAGTGATGTGCCGATGCAAGAAATAAAAGATGTTAGCTGTTTTAGTACGCCTAAAAAAAAAACTAAAAAGTGCGGATTATACTCAGAAATACAAAAGAGACTGGGAAAAAGAGTGGAAGTGGCTCCGTCAAGTAAGAAAGGCCCAACTTACGCGTGGTATGATAGTTTGTTATATGATTTTGTAACTTTAAAATAATTTCAGTTTATAATATTTTAGGTGCAAATTCTGCAGTTGCGATATCCTTATTGCGAGGGGCAAAGGAGAAATTAAAAAGCATATCACCACTGCCAAACACATAAAGTCAATATCAACCATCAAATCGCAACCATCTGTGGCGTCAGTGTTTGGCAAAAAATCCAAAAATATCGACGAAAAGGCAAAAGAGGGTGTTTTACGCCTTGCTGGTTTTATAGCGGAGCATAACTTGCCAATAAGATTAATGGAACATATTTCGAATTTAGTTAAAAGTATTTGCACAGATTCTGAAATTGCGCAAGCTATCAAATGTATTCGTACAAAAATGACTAACGTAATACGAAATGTCACCGGCGATTGATTTACACAATATAACGCCTTAACCCTTTATTTTACGGAGCAAGCTTATGAAGGAGTGTTGCAAGCCGACAATATTTTAGAAAAACTTAAAAAACCAGAGACAAAACTATACCTTGATTTTTTGGCATATACTCGTATATTACCTTTATTTAACCGGCTAAACCTTTTAATGCAGAGTGAGAAGCCACAGCTACATAAAGTATATGAAGAAGTGACATGTGTGTTAAAAACCATAATGGACTGTTTTATTAAACGAGATATTTTAGAGAACATCATGGTGTATGAAATTGATTATAAAAATCCGAGAAATTTTTTAATAATTGATGATATATGGTGCATCAATTAATGTAAGTAAAATTGACAGAAACATTTTATATTCTGTTAAAGTAAAATACTTGGATTTTTATGTTCAAAGTACAAAGCAAATATTGCTCAGATTTCCCTTAAAGAATTCTGTAATAGAAAAATTTAAGTTTCTGGATCCCATTTGTGTGAAATCCAAAGAGAAGAACACTATTTCAGATGTGGCGTCGTTTTTTCCAAATTTAATTCATCCTGATGAAATTCAGGATCTGGATAATGAATGGAGATTGCTAAAAAATTACCCTCTGGATGACACTGAGAATGATATTTTAAAATTTTGGAGCGAAATTGCCCAAGTAATGATAGGAGATTCTCTAA